GTCTCAAGGACCGATGATCAACAGAGGAAGAGAGTGTACAATGAAAGACTCCAGCTATTGTTCCAAGGGAACATGCTCGCAGCCACGAGACGCCACAAGGCCAAGATTCGGTTGCAGTTCCTGGGAGTGAGAGTGAAGGACCCCGGCGTGGAGACTCTTGGATCCGCAGGTTCGAACATGTTGGTATCGATTCCTGACCAGATCACAGAGATCCAGAACAATGATCGTTGCCGGCACAGCCAGAGGTACCTGAACGTTTGCAACGGCTGGGTGAAACCATGGGCAGTTCGGGCTACAAGTGGTCACTCTGCGCACTCAGATCCCCAGAACAATTTGCTTCAGTTGGACAAGAACAGGTTCGCAATATCTCCATCTATGACCCTCTTGCAACGTCTTGGAGGCGCGTTCCACGCTACGGCATGCCGCAACCTGGATTCCATTGTCACGCAAGGCATCATGCCTGGTTCGGAGGACCCCGACGGGGACTTCGACCATAGGCGCCAATTTCGAGGCAACCAAGGCGGCAGACTCCACAGCTATTGGGGGGTGTTTGCACCGTTCGATCACCGGAATGCGACGACCAAGATGCGGGTACATGGACGAGATGCCAAGCACATGCCACTGGCGGTCCTCCATGTCCCATCGCAGGACCTTGCACGAGAAGATGGACGTATCACAGACAGCGGCATCATGATCGTTGGCCGAACGATACCGTTCCAGTTCGTCAAGGAGGTATGGTTTTGCGTCCCGAATCCTCAAGATACACACTCTTTCGCTCTGGTGGAAAAGATCTACGATGAACGGTTGGAGAAAGAGATGGTGTTGGACTACAATGCATCACCTTTGCTCCCTGAGTTCGAGAGATACCGAACACCAAGCAAGATCATGGAATTGCTTTGCGAGATGCCTCCTGGACCCCACGACACCAGCAAGGAGCAGATCATTCGAGACCTTACGACTGTCCTGGAGTCCCACAGGGAGAACACGGTTCGGCATCACTACATGGACAAAGGGATCAAGTTTGTCATCAAGAATTGGCGACCCGAAGACCTACGCAGAGACGAGGATGGAAGGAGAATGAGGGTGTGCCCGGCATGCTACAACATCGTTCCAGCATGCTTCTCCCGATGCACGTCTTGCTGGTCACAGTTCGTTTCTAGCGGATATTACCAAGGTTCTCCACAACGGGAGACTCCTACGGAGATCCCCAGTGACTTCATTGCTCAGACAATGGAAGCCGCGGCAGCAGCAGTGCCTGAGGCGCCCGAAGAGGAGCAGGAAGCCATGGAGGTAGAGACCGTTGCGGAACCTGAGGAAATCCCAGAACCATCTGTCATCGCGGAGGACGATCCAGAACAGGAACCTGATGAAGAAATGGACACAGAGCCAGGAGAGGACTTTGATGACGCAGTACCAGATGCAGTTGCACAGGAACGACGTCCCGTCCTCATCGCCGGCCAGTCTTTGAACATCGATCCTGAACTACAACTCGCACGTACCGCCATGCAGCCATCCTACTACTCAGGGAAGCGAAATGCCCATTGCATCGACGCCAACATGGTCGCTCTTTCGTATATGGCATTCGTGGTATGCAGAACCATCTACAAGGCTTGGTCAGGATTCGCGAAGTGGGCTACTATGCCGTTGTTCCAGATGAAGGAGAATTTCGCACTTGGCCAACGCTATGATGTGCTCGGGAAGTGGGGATCTTTAGCTGTAGTGGACAGAGAGACGGGTGTGAGCAGGGATGTGACTGACGAGGAGATCATTCGCTTTGCCAAGGAGCCTGAGAACCTCAAGCAGTACGATCCCAACGGGACTTACACTTTGAAGCGTTTCCGGACGAATCAGATGCTTTCGTTGCTTACACGGGGAGCCAATATGATGGGAATTGGCAGGGACAACTTCAACCCTACTACGTACTTGAAGAGCAACAGGGATGAAGATGTGAAGGCTATGCACTTCTGTTGCCTGAACGTCCTGTGCGAGGTGATTCCGATGGTGACAGGACACCAACAATTCTCAGTGCTACGACCAACGCCAACTGGACCGGTGGACTTCCTGTACATCGACCCCGTCGGTATCCTGCTGACTCATGCCGATCATTCAGTCCAGACCATTGGATTGCTGGTGGACCACAATGTGCAAATGCCTGCGCATTTCATGGACAGATTGGTCAGATCCAAGGCTGAGAGACAGCAAAACCCGACGACCAAACGTACTGAAGCCCTACATCACATTTCGGCCGCTGACTATCTCCCTCCAGGTGGTACTTCCATCCTGGACACGCCTGTCACTACGGAGGAACGTGCAAGCGCTTCTTCGGCCAAGGGACCTTCAAAAGGGCGTGAGAGAACCGGAGGTGAACAGCATGGAGGCTGGAACGCCAACTCCTACTACGACTACACCGCCGGCAAAGGCCGAAACAAAGGCAAGGACAAAGGAAAGCAAAGGGAACAGTATCCAGAGGAAAACCTCCGGCCCTGGGACCGCGATCCTGCGACCACGCGAAGATGGAGATGAATCAACGCTTGGTCTTCCTCGCCTATCAGTTCGTGACCTCTGAGCTTCGCCCATGGAATGCCATCGCGAATGCTTCTTTCTTCGGTGACGCCTGATTCGTTTGCCATTTCAGGGGATCGTTACTGACGTAGATGAGTGTCACAACGTTTCTAATTGGGATGCAAAGCTCTGATTTTCAATGTCAACGTTGCGGCGGAACATTTTCTGTTGTCCTATCGTGCCATCTTCCGGGTGAGCAGCGTCGGAGACGCAACTCATGGGGGGTGCGAACGGACTGCGATGCCTTGTCAAGTTCTAAGGTGTCACTATAAGAGCTGTGAGCATGACCGTGTAAAGTGCAAGAGAAGGGGGCACGCTACGCGTCCCTCGACTCTAAGGGGGCACGCTACGCGTCCCTCATCTTTACCTTTCTATGTGACCGCCCACGCAACGTTTGGCTCAAGTCAATGCCCATAGCTAAGTGCTATAAGTGTCTTCTATCCTGAGCAATCAGAGCTATCCCGTTGCACAGACGAACCGCCGCCGGCAGTGAGTGCAAAAGGAACGGCCGCCGGTTCTGCCTGCATAGGATTGCACGTGTGGAAGTGTGAGAGAGACAGGGTCCAGTCTGTGGAGAGTGCAAGCCAGCCACACCTACATTCATTACAGCTCTGGTGGGGAGAGCAGCAACATAGTCGAGATCAATTCCCCACGCAGAACAAGTGTCGGTAGCTTTAGGTTTGTTTGAGGGATGATCCAACGGTCGGTCCAAGTGGGGGCAGCTTTAGCCCGATCCAACGAATGGATCAGGCGTGGGGGCAGCTTTTCAATTATTTGGGATTGCCCACACTCGGTCCAACGAATAGACCGAATAGATTTTAGGTCTGTTTGGGAGGTTGCCTGCCTTCGGTCCAGCGAATGGACCAAATATGGGCAGCTTTAGGTTTATTTGGGTGATGCCCATACTCGGTCCCACGGTTGGACCAAGCGTGGGGGCAATTTTAGATTTATTTGGGCGTTGCCTATACTCGGTCCAATAATTGGATCAAATGGAGGCGCTCTAGATTTTTTTGGAAATTAGTCTAACGATTGGACCAAGTCTGGGCATCTTTAGCTTTGTTTGGAGGTTGTCCATACTCGGCCCAATGGTTGGACCATGTAAGGATAGCTTTAGGTTTATTTAGGGGTCTCGGTCCAACGGTTGGACCATGTGAGGGCAATCCTAAAGCTGCCCATATCTGGTCCGACTTCAGGTTTATTTGGAGATTGCCCGTATTCGGTCCAACCTTTGGTCCAAGTGTCGGCAGCTTTAGTCTTATTTGGGGTTTGCCCACACTCGGTCCAATATATGGTTGGACCAAGTCTGGGCAGCTTTAGGTTTGTTTGACACGGTTTAGGATTTAAAGTTTAGGGTTTATGGATTATAGAGCTTGTTTCGTGTGCGGGGTGCGTTTTTGAGAATCATAAATTGTGTTTGTTTCTATGTTTTTGTAGTTTTGTTGAATTTGTTTTGGGTTTTCTTTTTTTTGTTTTCCGATATGTAAACAGGGAAATGGAGAAATAAGGAAATTAGGAAATAGGGAAAGAGGGAAACAAGGGAATAGGTAAAATAGGGGAATAAGGGAATAAGCAAAAAGTGAAATAAAGAAATAGGGAAAAGGGTAATAATGGAACAGAGTATCAGTGAAATAAAGAAATAACGAAATACTGAAAAAAAATTAAAAAAATAAAATAGTGGAAATAAAGATAGCAGAAGAAAAAAGGTATTAAGGGAATTGGAAGGAAATAGATGAATAAGGGCATATGAGGGAATATAAAGGAATAGGTGAAACCGAAATGTAATAAGAGAATACGGGAATATAGTAATTAGAGAATAGGGCAATAGGGGAAGACGGAAATTGCAAAATAAGGGAATAAGGGAAAATAAAAAAGGATATAAATATATAAATAAATAATGAAATATAGAAAAAAGAGAAATAGATTAACTAGAGGCGAGTCGGATATTTTAAACCCTAATACTAGCAGCAGTAATAGTGATTGTAGTAGAAGAAGAGGTAGCATAACCCTGAACTTATAACTCTAAATCCTAAATCTGAAACCCTAAACCCTAAACCATCAAGAAAGTGATAAATAGAAATTGCTTGTCCTTGCTTTTGTAATTGACCACCGCTACGACCCAGCCGACAGGGCCAGCAACAAAGAGGCGAAACATTCGCGCAAGTAGCTGACAGGGCCAGCAACAAAGAGGCGAAACATTCGCGCAAGTAGCCGGCAGGGCCAGCAACAAAGCGGCGAAACATTCGCGCAAGTTGGCGACAGCTACTCTCGCAAGCTGGTGGCTACAAGCAACTTGAAGCAGCGACGAGGTTCGGGGACACGATTATGTTACCATCGCAAGCTTGTGACTGTGAGCAAGTCCAACCAGCAACAAGGTTTGGGGACACGGTTATGTTACCATCGCAAGCTGGTGGCTGTGAGCACCTTGAAGCAGCGACGAGGTTCGGGGACACGATTATGTTACCATCGCAAGCTTGTGACTGTGAGCAAATTACCAGAGACGAGGGTCGGGGACACGATTACGTTACCATCGCAAGCTTGTGGCTGTTAGCAACTTGAAGCAGCGACGAGGTTCGGGGACACGATTACGTTACCATCACAAGCTGGTGGCTGTGCGCAAGTCCAACCAGCGACAAGGTTTGGGGACACGATTACGTTACCATGGCAAGCTGGTGGCTGTGAGCACCTTGAAGCAGCGACGAGGTTCGGGGACACGATTACGCTACCATGGCAAGCTGGCGGCTGTGAGCAAGTTACTAGAGACGAGGCTCGGGGACACGATTACGTTACCATGGCAAGCTGGCGGCTGTGACTACATGCTGCAAATCTTCGGAAAACTACTTTTCTCATGACTCACATGTCAGTGGGTTCCCACAGGGTCTAAATTTTGGACAGGATGCAATGTCAAAATGCCTGCCGCAACCATTTGCTGCGCTCAGAAGCCCGGCAAGTGGCTTTTCTGGCAATGGGAACACCCGCGAGGTGCACGTTCTGTGTCGTAACAGAGAGAAAGAAACGGCAGCTACTACGACCGCTTCAAAAGTGCAGAAAGAGAAAACCATTTGCCAAGACAAAAACTTTACCACAGGCATCCGCGAACCCTCATTTCTTTCGCAAAGAAGATAACTGAATCTAACAAGCTTTCGGTTCAAGAGGGCAGACGCAGGGCAGGGCAGGGCAGGGCAGGGCACTTGCCAAGACAAAAACCTTACCAGAAGCATTCGCGATCCACCACCGCGGCGTTTGCCAAGGGCAGGGCAGGGAAGGGCAGTGCAGGGCAGGGGAGGGCAGGGCAGGCACTTGGCAAGACAAAAACCTTACCACAAGCATCCGGGATTCCACGGAGCGGGCTTTGCCAGGACAAAAACCTTACCACGGACATCCGCGAACAATCATCTCTTTCGCAAACAAGATAACTGAATCTAACAAGTTTTCGGTTCAAGAGGACAGAGGCAGGGCAGGGTAGGGCAGTCACTTGCCGAGACAAAAACCTTACCACATGCATCCGCGAACCATCATTCCTTTCACAAGAAAGATAACTGAATCTAACAAGTATCCGCGATCCATCTCCACGGCATTCGCCAAGACGGAAACCTTACCAGAGGCATCCGCGAACTATCACCCCTCTCACAAGAAAGGTAACTGAATCCAACAAGTTTCGGTTCTAGAGGGCAGAGGCAGGGCAGGGCAGGCACTTGCCAAGACAAAAACCTTACCACAAGCATCCTCGACCCGTCACCGCGGCATTTGCCAAGACAAAGACCTTTCCACATGCATCCTCGAACCATCATTCATTTCACAAGAAAAATAACTGAATCTAACAAGTATCCGCGACCCATCACCGCGGCATTTGCCAAGACAAAACCCTTACCACATGCATCTGCGAACCATCATTCCTTCCACAAGAAAGACAACTGAATCTAACAAGTATCCGCGATCCATCTTCACGGCATTTGCCAAGACGAAAACCTTACCAGAGGCATCCGCGAACTATCACCCCTCTCACAAAAAAGATAACTGAATCCAACAAGTATTCGGTTCAAGAGGGCAGAGGCAGGGCAGGGCAGGCACTGGCCAAGACAAAACCCTTACCACAAGCATCCTCGACCCATCACCGCGGCATTTGCCAAGACAAAAACCTTACCACATGCATCCGCGAACCATCATTCCTTTCACAAGAAAGATAACTGAATCTAACAAGTATCCGCGATCCATCACCACAGCATTCGCCAAGACCAAAGCCTTACCAGAGGCATCCGTGCACTATCACCCCTATCACAAGAAAGATAACTGAATCCAACAAGTTTTCGGTTCAAGAGGGCAGAGGCAGGGCAGGGCAGGCACTTGCCAAGACAAAAACCCTACCACAAGCATCCCCGACCCATCACCGCGGCATTTGCCAAGACAAAAACCTTACCACATGCATCCGCGAACCATCATTCCTTTCACAAAACTGAATCTAACAAGTATCCGCGATCCATCACCACGGCATTTGCCAAGACAAAAACCTTCCCAGAGGCATCCGTGCACTATCACCCCTCTCACAAGAAAGATAACTGAATCCAACAAGCTTTCGGTCCAAGAGGGCAGAGGCAGGGCAGGGCAGGCACTTGCCAAGACAAAAACCTTGCCACAAGCATCCTCGACCCATCACCGCGGCATTTGCCAAGACAAAAACCTTGCCACATACATGCATCCGCGAACCATCATTCCTTTCACAAGAAAGATAACTGAATCTAACAAGTATCCGCGATCCATCATCACGGCATTTGCCAAGACGAAAACCTTACCAGAGGCATCCGCGAACTATCACCCCTATCACAAGAAAGATAACTGAATCCAACAAGTTTTCGGTTCAAGAGGGCAGAGGCAGGGCAGGGCAGGCACTTGCCAAGACAAAAACCCTGCCACGAGCATCCTCGACCCATCACTGCGGCATTTGCCAAGACAAAGCCTTACCACATGCATCCGCGAACCATCATTCCTTTCACAAGAAAGATAACTGAATCTAACAAGTATCCGCGATCCATCACCACGGCATTCGCCAAGACAAAAGCCTTACCAGAGGCATCCGCGAACTATCACCCCTCTCACAAGAAGGATAACTGAATCCAACAAGTTTTCGGTTCAAGAGGGCAGAGGCAGGGCAGGGCAGGCACTTGCCAAGACAAAAGCCTTACCACAAGAATCCTCGACCCATCACCGCGGCATTTGCCAAGACAAAAACCTTACCACATGCATCCGCGAACCATCAATCCTTTCACAAGAACGAAACCTGAATCTAACAAGTATCTGCGATCCATCACCACGGCATTTGCCAAGACAAAAACCTTCCCTCAGGCATCCGTGCATTATCACCCCTCCCACGAACAAGATAGCTGAATCCAACAATTTTTCAGTTCAAGAGGGAAGAGGCAGGGCAGGGCAGGCACTCGCCAAGACAAAAACCTTACCACAAGCATCCTCGACCCATCACCGCGGCATTTGCCAAGACAAAAACCTTACCACATGCATCCGCGAACCATCATTCCTTTCACAAGAAAGATAACTGAATCTAACAAGTATCCGCCTTCCATCACCACGGCATTTGCCAAGACAAAAACCTTACCAGAGGCATCCGCGAACTATCACCCCTCTCACAAGAAAGAAAACTGAATCCAACCAGTTTTCGGTTGAAGAGGGCAGAGGCAGGGCAGGGCAGGCACTTGCCAAGACAAAAACCTTACCACAAGCATCTTCGACCCATCACCGCGGCATTTGCCAAGACAAAAACCTTACCACATGCATCCGCGAACCATCATTCCTTTCACAACCATCATTCCTTTCACAAGAAAGATAACTGAATCTAACAAGTATCCGCGATCCATCATCACGGCATTTGCCAAAACAAAAGCCTTACCAGAGGCGTCCGCGAACTATCACTCCTCTCACAAGAAAGATAACTGAATCCAACAAGTTTTCGGTTCAAGAGGGCAGAGGCAGGGCAGGGCAGGCACTTGCCAAGACAAAAACCTTGCCACAAGCATCCTCGACCCATCACCGCGGCATTTGCCAAGACAAAAACCTTACCACATACATGCATCCGCGAACCATCATTCCTTTCACAAGAAAGATAACTGAATCTAACAAGTATCCGCGATCCATCATCACGGCATTTGCCAAAACAAAAGCCTTACCAGAGGCGTCCGCGAACTATCACTCCTCTCACAAGAAAGATAACTGAATCTAAAAAGTTTTCGGTTCAAGAGGGCAGAGGCAGGGCAGGGCAGGCACTTGCCAAGACAAAAACCTTACCACAAGCATCCTCGAACCATCACCACGGCATTTGCCAAGACAAGAACCTTACCACATGCATTCGCGAACCATAATTCCTTTCACAAGAAAGACAAACTGAATCTAACAAGTATCCGCCTTCCATCCCTTTCACAAAACTGAATCCAACAAGTATCTGCGATCCATCACCACGGCATTTGCCAAGACAAAAACCTTACCAGAGGCATCCGCGAACTATCACCCCTCTCACAAGAAAGATATCTGAATCCAACAAGTTTTCGGTTCAAGAGGGCAGAGGCAGGGCTGGGCAGGCACTTGCCAAGACAAAAACCTTGCCACAAGCATCCTGGACCCATCACCGCGGCATTTGCCAAGACAAGAACCTTGCCACATGCATCCGCGAACCATCATTCCTTTCACAAGAAAGATATCTGAATGTAACAAGTATCTGCGATCCATCACCACGGCATTTGCCAAGACAAAAACCTTACCAGAGGCATCCGCGAACTATCACCCCTCTCACAAGAAAGATAACTGAATCCAACAAGATTTCGGTTCAAGAGGGCAGAGGCAGGGCAGGGCAGGCACTTGCCAAGACAAAAACCTTACCACAAGCATCCTCGACCCATCACCGCGGCATTTGCCAAGACAAAAACCTTACCACATACATGCATCCGCGAACCATCATTCCTTTCACAAGAAAGGTATCGGAATCTACCAAGTATCCGCGATCCATCTCCACGGCATTTGCCAAGACAAAAACCTTACCAGAGGCATCCGCGAACCATCATTCCTTTCACAAAACTGAATCTAACAAGTATCCGCGATCCATCACCACGGCATTTGCCAAGACAAAAGCCTTACCAGAGGCATCCGCGAGCTATCACCCCTCTCACAAGAAAGATAACTGAATCCAACAAGTTTTCGGTTCAAGATGGCAGAGGCAGGGCAGGGCAGGCACTTGCCAAGACAAAAACATTGTCACAAGCATCCTCGACCCATCACCGCGGCATTTGCCAAGACAAAAACCTTACCACATGCACCCGCGAACCATCAATCCTTTCACAAGAAAGATAACTGAATCTAACAAGTATCCGCGATCCATTTCCACGGCATTCGCCAAGACAAAAACCTTACCAGAGGCATCCGCGAAGTATCACCCCTCTCTCAAGAAAGATAACTGAATCCAACAAGTTTTCGGTTCTAGAGGGCAGAGGCAGGGCAGGGCAGGCACTTGCCAAGACAAAAACCTTACCACAAGCATCCTCGACCCATCACCGAGGCATTTGCCAAGACAAAAACCTTACCACATGCATCCGCGAACCATCATTCCTTTCACAAGAAGATAACTGAATCTAACAAGTATCCGCCTTCCATCACCACGGCATTTGCCAAGATAAAAACCTTACCAGAGGCATCCGCGAACTATCACCCCTCTCACAAGAAAGACAACTGAATCCAACAAGCATTCGGTTCAAGAGGGCAGAGGCAGGGCAGGGCAGGCACTTGCCAAGACAAAAACATTGTCACAAGCATCCTCGACCCATCACGGCGGCATTCGCCAAGACAAAAACCTTAC